GCTGGGCTCTGACAGCAGCAAGGTAAGGATCCAAACTCAGACCTGTGTCGGCTCCATCTCCCACTGGGGCTGCCAAGCCCTGCCACTTGTGGGGGATCCGGGTTGGACAGGAAACTCAGGAACAGAGGGAGGAGCTGGTGGGGGTACAGCAGGGTCTCCTTTCCCCTGGGAGGAACAGAACTTCAGTCCTCTCTCAGATTTGACTTCAAGTGCAAACTCTCATGCAGCCATGGCTAGCTTCCCACCAAAGTGTACACTTTGAAGACAACCTTTGAAGTATCTTGGCATCAGCTTAATTATTGACCTAGGATGGCCGAGTGGGCCACAAGTGAGTTAGGACACCAAGGCATGAAACAGCAGCTCAGTGGATCAAACAATTGGGGTGCAAGGTTGCAAATCTACCCCAGTATGCACAAAAAGGGTTCATGCTTTTTCTTTCGACTTCTCTAAAACTCCCAACACCCACAGTTACCCCACTGACCACTTTTTCATTTAGGGGTGACTTCCAATAGGAAATCCATGTACATCTGGCACACAGGCAATGATATCTGGGTGTAAAATGCCCCCTCCCAGGTGAACAAAGGGCACCAGAAGGACTATGTGCCCACACATGGACTGTGTGCCCACATTGGGAGGCCTCAACTAAGCAGTAGGCGGTAAGTCCCATCTGGGGCTCAATGGAAATCTTTCATCTGTGACCAATGAACCACAGGGCTGAAGTAGTGCTGAAGCAGGGTCCAAGCCACAGAAGGGTGCAGAAGTTCCAGGAGACACCCTAAGCCACAGCCTCTCTTGACCCTGCAGCAGAGGGCTGGTATCATGACCGGGCCCCACAAGGAACATGCTCAAAGTTCTTGTTATATTGCTTGCTAGTTCTTCTTTCTCTCTCAGTGACCCCAACATGCACCTTGCTACCATCCTGGTTGCAACTTTGTTCCTCAGACATTTCTAGTTGCCAAGTCTGCTAACCCGTACTCCTTCCCACACCCCAGTATGGGTCAAATGAAAAGCCGCCTCTGTCAAGTCCAGGTCCTCGGCTACAGGCACTCTAGGGAGCAATCAGCCCCTCACTTCTTCTGCCGCCTTGTCACTCTGGAAGTCAGAGCCAGAGGCTGCAGGGGGAGCCTCAGAAGACCCGGAGAACATCAATCTGAAATGGTAGGGCAGACATAGCCATGAAGCTGGCCAGCACAAGAACAGAGCAACTGGTTTGCATACTAACAATGAATTTAAAGAAAAATGTAAAAACATTTGGTAGGGCAAAGGCCTGGCTCCATCTGAGTCGCCACTCTGTGATAGAGCCCAACCCCTTCTGCACAGAAAGGGGAAGCTGAGGCGCAGCCAAAAGGAAGGGGACAGTGACTAAGTAAGGCTGGTAATTACTAAGAAAGCCAGCATAAAAACTTAACTCACAACCCTGACCAGCAAAGCCTAGCGACTGCAGAAGGACTACCAGCCAACGGACAGACTCTGGGACTGGAGTCATAGGGCCCTGCAAACACAGGATCCAGAGCCACCTCTGGGTCAGTGTCAATCACAGTATTAGGTGACTGAGCACCACCATCTGGGGGCCACAGATCCTGGAGGAAAAAGGAAGGAGGAAGAGGAGGGGAGGAGCTGCCCAAGGAACACCAGCACTGCAGAGTATGAAGAAGGGTGTGGCCTCTGTCCTCAGTCCAGCCAGAGGAGAGGCTGGCTAAGCATGAAGCCACAGCAGTTGACTCTCTTGACACTGTGACCCAGGGTCCAGCCCCAGATCCACCCCCATCAGGCCAGGGCAGGAACATTAGACTCACCCTGGTGAGATCTTCCTAACTTCAGAGCCCTAAATTCACTGCCCATGCCTAGAACCCCTGCTTAAGCTGAATGCCCAGCGGCTCACGTTCCAAGTGCAGCAATAGCCTGCCAGGCATCACAGCCGAGTTAGTCATGTCCAGATAGCACAGAACCTCTACCCAAAGGTAAACAGGGACCGGGTCCCTCTCTGGTCAAACCTCAAGGCTCGGCCAGTTGTTAGTGCTCAGCCTCATGGCGTTTCAGTGAGTGCTGAGCCAGGTGGCCAGCCAGGAAGCCACAGGGCCAAGTCAGTGAAGCCTTTTAACTCAGCTCCCCTGAGGCCCCCAAAGGGCTCTGCTGAGGACAGCAGGGAGGCCTGAGGTCCCTATGACTCTCCCACAAGGCTCTGCAACCAACAACTAGAACACAGGACATAGAAAAGCAAAGAATGGGTACCATAACACTCAAACCATGAAAACACCAGGGTCTCTGCCTGCATGCAGTCAGCAAACTGGGTCAGAGGGCCAGAACTAAATGTAGGACTTATACCCTCTAATTCAGATGGTTTCTGCTGTTTCAGACTAGTCTCCATCTTGGGCAAAAAAAACCAGCTCACCTTGAGTAAGCACTGGCAAAATACCTTTCCTCCTGAAAATGTTCTCACCCACTTGAAAATCTTCCATGGTTTCCAGTGCCCTAAAATAGGTCACGGTGCTCCTCTAGCTTCCATCTTCACTCTCACCTCACCGCCTCCTAAAGCAGCTCTCTCCTCTGGTCAGACCAGGCCACAGCCTGGGCACCTGGCACCTGGCCCAGGCTCTCTACAGTGTATACAAAGAGCTCTCAGCCACCAGTCCTTCCACTGGAAGAGGGTCCAGAACATTCACACACCAATCCCTTCCCTCCCAGGGTACTATGGGCTCGGCTTCTAGGACACTCATCAGCTTGGACCTGAACATGCTCGGGATCTGAGGCATACCTAAACCAGCCTGCAGGACATCAGCCCGGGGACATTACAACTCCTGCACAACTTGAGGGTTATTCCCATTTCCTACTCTGTAGGGAAGGAGGGGGCATAGAAAAATAACACTAACTCAAGACCTGAGGGTGGCACCAGGCTCTGCATGGGGTGGGCCTGGGTGCAGCGGCTTCTTCCTCATGTCACCCCATAGGAAATTGTGAGCCATCTCCTTGTCACAAAGGTGATAAGGCCAGCATACAGGAAATGGTAAGAGTGCAGGGCCCAGGTCATTTCTCAGGCTTTAACAAGAGCTCTGGTGACCTGCCTGGGACCTTCCACAGTGGGCTTAGGTAGAAAGAAAGAAAAAACCCAACAGCCAAATGTATCACCAAAAGAGTGGCCAACTGGAAAGGGAGAACCCAGGAACCAGTATTTTCCACCATCTCCGTGACCTGTTCACCTGCCTCAGGGCATCTTCACTGCCTCCTGAGGTGGAAGTGGGGAAGGAGAATGCACCAGGGCAGAAGAAAGGGAAACCAGGCTGTTCACTTGAAAGAAAGATCACTCAAGCCCTCTCCCCCTGCTGGTGATCCCTCCCACTGCTGCTTCTAACAGCCTTAACGCTGAGAGGCCTAGCAACGCAGTTCCCTCAGAGGGTCTTCCCCACCCCCAATTTAAAGGCATAAAAGTCCAGGTAGATACCTGATACAAGCTTGGCCAATGAGAATATCACATTGCATGGACTAGTGACTGAGACACATGGGTTGAATAGTGTCCCCGGCAAGACAAGCTGAAGTCCTCATCCCCAGCAGCTGCGTGTGTGACTGTATTTGAAAACAGGAACTTGCAGATACTCTCAAGTTGAGGTAAGGCAGGTCATCATCGAGTCGTGCTAATCTAGGTCTCCTCAGAAAAAGAAAGATCAGGGCTGGGGAGACAGCTCGGTGAGAAAGCATTTGCCTCGTGGGCACAAGGACCTCAGTTGGATCCCCAGAACTCATGTGAAAATAAGGGGGGGGGGGGAGTAGTGCTTATAATCCCAGCTCTGGGGAGGGAGGCGGGAGGTGGGAGGCTCCCTAGAGAGCTACTTTTACCTAATTAACCAGCTACACAGACCACCCCTCAAAAGGAGGTAGCCAGTATTTCTAAGGAAAATACTGATAATACTCAAGGGTGTCCTCTGGCCTCAGCCTCCCCTCTGCCCCTCCCCCCCCAAAGCCATGACTATATAGGCCTACACACAAAAGATGGCCATGGGAAGATAGGAAGGCAGAGACTAGAACTATGCTGCCCCAGACCAGGAGAGCAGGGGACCGTATCTGTAGCTGGAGGAGGAGGAGAAGGACCTACTCTAGGAGGTTCTGGGGACAGCCTGGCCCTGTCAGCACACTGACTCCAAACTCCCATCCTCGGGAGCTGAGAATAAGCTTCAGTTCTTTCCAGCCTCAGCTGAAAGTTACAGGATCTGCCAGATCAATCAGAGCCAACCACCCCAGCTAGCCCGGAGTCTCAGGTGGAGTCCTGCCCCAGGAAAGCTGATAAGCCAAGGGGATACAGCGCTGGCAGCCATCTTCTCGTGATTTGGCAAGGGCTTACCCAAAATAACTTTCTCAGAGAACCTGAAGAAATACTTCCAACGAGACGATGTGCGTCTTTAATGACCTGAAACCCCTCTGCCCTGTCTCTAGACCTTTAAATGATACTCCCTTCCCCTTTCCACTTATGCTCAAGATATGTGTGTCTGATGCCCTCCAGGGCCTTTACGTTTATCATACACGGGCATAATTTGCCCATAAAGTATGTCTAAAGGAGCTTGACACCCAGTGGTCATCCCACAAAGGACCTGAACTTTCCACACTAGTGCTGAGATCCTAAGTGCCAGGTTCTCTATGCCAGCAATGTCATCCTTCAAAGTTCTGCTTCAGTGATGGCTAGTCCTTATCCTAAAGATGCTTTTCAAGACGGGGTTTCTCTGTATAGCCCTGGCTGTCCTCAAACTCAGAGATCCGCCTGCCTCTGCCTCCAGAGTGCTGGGATTATAGGTGTGAGCTATCACCACGGCCAGCTTGGAAGTTTCTTATAACAAAAACCAGTTCCTCCAAGCTCAGAATGGTAAGAGGCACTTGATTTTAAATGACGACCAAAACCAGCTTCTGTCATAAAAACAAAGTTTTAGAGGTCATGATCTCAGGTGCTTCGGCCGCTTGATGTCAGCAAAATCTGAGGATTTTTTTTTTCCAAGTTTCCATCCTGCCATGTTTACCATGGTTGTCTCTGGTCCACTTCACGGTAAACATGGCTGACTGCCACACCTCCCAACAGGACACCTAGAAGGGAGAAAGGGGTGTGTATCGGAAAATTTTCCCCACAAGTTGGGAGGAGCTAAGGTGGGAGGAGTAAGGAGAGGATGAGGAGGAATAAGGAGAGGAAGAGGAAGAGGAGAGGAAGAGGAGAAGGAGAAGGAGAGGAGGAGCAGAGAGGCAGAGATGTAGGAGGATGGAGAGCCACGCTTGTACCGAGAGCAGTCCTGGGTAACAACTTATATCTAGGTTAGTTAATTGGTTAACACCTCTAATTGTGTGAGCATCTTGTTATTGAGCATTACTAAACATATAAAGCCTTTGGTTAATCATTAAGCATTAGAGTCTATTCTTACCCAGTACCGTGTGGATGGCGGGATGGTCTGGATTCAGCCCAACCTTGTGTAGACAGTGTGGAAGATTGGCAGAGCCATCTCCCACGCTGACATCTTGTGGGTGGCAGGGCCAGTGTCTCTGGCCGCCTGAGCCAATGGTCTGAGGCAGCGGGCCTGAGCCAAGTAGCGGAGTCTAGTAGGGAACATGGCAGCTCCGTAACTACAAGCTAGAACGGGTGCTGCCATTTTAAATATCTCCCGCAACAGGGATGTGGCCAAGGAGCTGGGCTTTTTAATAAGACAGTAGATGCTCTTTTTCCTGCTAACTCATTAGTCAGAAGTAGGTGAAACATACCACTTGGTGTAAGGGCGACTGTCTACATGGAGAGCCAAGGCCAATCCAAAGCTGCCTAAAGCAAAAAGGGACAGTGAAGGGGAGAGTGAAGGCAGGCTGGGAAGCTAAGGCTACAGAGAAGAATAAGAGAATGGCCAGGCTTGGACATTCCAGCTGTGCAGGACGCTGAGGAGGGTCATGAGTTCAAGGCCTGCCTGAGCTACAGAATAAACTGATGAGAGCTTGCCTCAGATTTTTATAAAAGGATGTGAGGTGTAGCTCAGAGCATTTGCTTAGCATGCGCAAGGAAGGCCCTGGGTTCAATGCACACTGGGAAAGGAAATCAAGCAAGCAAACAAAAGAGAGTAAGAGTCTACTACTAGCCCCTTGAAATCCTTTAAAAAAAAAAAAATCATTCTGTAGCTTCTAAGTTGGCCCTAGGGTAAAGTAAACAAGTTCACAAGAATCCTTTCCCAATGCCTCTTCTGTGCCAGGTCCTCTGCTAGGTACTGTGGTGAGTGCCAGGAGCCCACAAAACTTGCAGAGAGTTGCTTGAAAGGCCGATGCAGGAAGCACATGGCAGCCAGGGAGCAGGGGATTTGGTATGTGCCTGGGTCTAAGAGACAGCATGTTTCTGGGGTGGTTAGGCTCAGGCACCTCCAAGCCCAGGCACCCCCAATATTAGAGGCTTGTAGGCAGTGGTGGCTAAACAAACCCCCTCCCCAGAAGGCAGCTCCCAGCTGCCTCACCCAGTCCCAAAAGGTCTTTGTGAGGAATGCTTCCCTGGACAAAGCAAAAAGCCAGGGGTAGCAGGCCGGAGGAAGTATGCTCCCTGCCTTAAATAGAAGCAAGCCAGGGCTGGCTGGTGGAGAGTTTGCCGAGGAGGATGGGCTGTGGGCTAGAGCGCTTTAAGAAAGCTCAGTGGTTATACTGTCCTGCCGCCTATGCCAGCCTGTAGTGCAGAAGCAGGGCTTGAGGCTGTACATCTTACAAGAGATCTGAGGTGGCTCTACTCTGACCACATCCCTGCGAGGGAGGTGGGTGGCTGGGTGGCAGCTCTTTCTCTCCTGCAGGCACAGTAAAGTACCTACCACTGTCTTGTAGGCATCCGCATGAGGCCACACACAATAGCAGTTAAGCAACGCACCACACATTCCAAAGGATTCTCCAAGAGCCCCAAGGCTAGCAACTCGATAATACAGGAGAGAATCAGAGACTGAGCCAGCACTGAAGGGTGACAAGACCCAGTGCTGCCAGCCCCTGAATACATTCAAGCACACTCCAAGGGCTTGCCTGGGCTCTGTAAGCTTCTCAGTTCCAGTCAGAAAGGTAGCAAGTCATGATATGGGGGCTAGAGAAAGACAGGGTCAAATGAAGAATGCTGAGAGACAGTTAGCAAAAAGGACATGAGAGGAAGCCCCCTCTGGAGGACCTGTGTGGGAGGAGTCAAAATGCTTTGATCGAAGTGTCCAGAAGGTGCTGAAGGAGACTTGAACTTCACCCAAGACATTCTGGTCTCCTCACCAAAGTGGAAGTGTTACAGCAGAAGACAGTGAGGCAGTCTGTGTTAGCCCTCTGTCGGGGGCAATAAGCAATGAGCCAGTCCCACCACTGACGTCACCCCCTGGGGTAGGACACCAGGCAGGCTCCCAGCAGTCTGCACACACATTGAAAGATGCTTCTCACCCCAGGACCCTACCTTCACAGAGGGTCCCATGCTTTCTGCCTTCAAGTCTTTCTTGACAGAAAACCCAGCCTGGAGACTCCAAAGTGCAGACAGAACAAAAGCTGTCCGTTGTAAGGAAGGGGTCAGGACACCCCAAGAATGGGTGCCTCCTCCAGGACCCACAGTGTGCTTGATAAGAGTCAAGGCTGAAAACAACCATACTATCCCTTCTCAATCCCCTAATCAATGAATTTCGAGAGCACTCGAGCCTACAGACTCCTCAGCTTGTTGGCTGGCTGCAAAGCCAAGCAGCTCCCCAGGCCCTGCCAACACCCACACAGGTACACACTTCCATGTCTTGCTGTACGATGAAGTGTCAAGAATCACCAACACCCACTTCAAGAACTGTGTCACAAGAAATTCTACCACATCCCAGGCGGGAGAGCACCAGCCCCCTCACCCTTCTGTAGCCAGAACAAATGTGGGAGGAGTCTGCATCCTGGCAGGAGGATGCCACCAAAGAGCCAGCTGAGGGAGCAGAAAGCAACAGAATCCTGGGTGCCAATCCCAGTTCTGTGGTTCACCGGCTCTGTAATCAAGTGAATCTGAGCCTCGGTGCCCACGGCCAAAAGGTAGGACAGCCTATTGTCCTTAGAGCTTGTAGGACTGGATTTGGGTTTATATGAGGGATTTTTTTCAAGTGCTTTATAAAGCACTCCCAAACGTTAGCTATATTTACATTGATTTTATTGCTGGACTCCCAGGAGCCGACTCGGCTTCTATTCAAGGCCTTTTGTGACTGATGCCAGGCACCCTCACAGGCTGGGCTGAGGGACAAGCTGCTGCTCTCATGGGACTGCCAGAACCCGGACACCGTAAGGTCCAAGTCTTGTGAATTCCCAGCTTCCACCCCTACTCTGGAAGACCTATCCGGATTAGAAGTTCTATCTGTTCAGGTGGGGGTGACAGGATCCCCTAGTAAGCACAGAGATGGCCTGAGAGAGACTCAGTGGGCTGGGGTACACCCCAAGTCTCACCTGACCTCCTGACTCAGTCTACCCTGCCACAACCCTCCTCCCAAACCAAGTCTCCCAGGACTGGTGACACAGGCAACACCACTGGCTTGGTCCCCTACTAAAAGCAGGCAACGCAATCTGGGAAAAGGTCAGCTTCTAGACACCGAGCCCGAGAACCGGGGAGGCGATGAGAGGGAAAGGGAGCCTGTGCTTCCCCGTAGCTGCTCACAACTGTCCTGAGGCAGGGCTGTTCAGACACGCAGCAGCATCCTATCTGGGAGCAGAGACTCACGTTCTGAGCCCTGGCTCAGAGTGAGGGGAGGAGGCCACCAATGTGAGATGTGAGCTCTGGGCCTTCAGAACCAGCTCAGCTTAGAACCACAGCCTTAGTCTGTGCCCTCCCGCTGGCTGCACAGCAGTCAGAACCTGCTGGGAACTTTCGGGTACCACAGAGCGGCACTCTACTGGTGCTCCCTGACCCCCACCCACCCTACCCCTGTGATTCGTTAAATGTTCTTGGAGAGAAGCAGGCATGGAGGATTCTCAGCACTGAAGAAGTGTTCTGTGGGACACTAAGATGGCAGGTGTGTGTCACTATCATCCGCTCGTGCCCACAGGCACAGTACCAGGAGTGCACATTGATGCCAGCTGTGGATTCTGAACGGCAATGATGTGTCCAAGACGGTTCACTGACTGCAACTGCACTACTCCGGGAAGACTCTGGTAACCTGGGATGTACGCAGCAGGGAGATAGAGCAATTGCATGATGTCCTACATTCTCTCTAAACGCTGCTATTCTGTTTTCATCTATTTTTTAAAAATCCCCCAGGTCAAAGGTTGCAGATATAGCGCCATAGAGACTCTGTCCATCATGTATAAAGTCCCTCGTTCAGTCCCCAGTGCTACATAAAATAGGTGTGGTGGCACACATCTATAATCCTCAGACTTGGGAAGCAGAAACAGGAGAGTTAGGAGAGTTGGAAATTTAAGGTCATCATCCTTGGCTAGCTAATGAGTAAATTGAAGGGTAGCCTGGGCTACAAAATATCTTGTCTTTAAAAAAAAAAAAAATGAAGTAAGTAAAAGCAGTCTCCCAGATGGTTGTAATTCTGATTGTGTGTGGACCCTGGAATGATACCTGCAGTGTGGACAAGACAATCAGGCTTCAGACTCAACAGGTAAATAAAAACCATCATGACCTCTGAGCTTGACTGGGACTCAGCCAGGCCCAGGATAACGCAGAACACGCAGGTTACGCATTCAGAGTACCTGACAGGGATGAGAGGCAGCATCCGATGCATGGAATAGAACATCTAACTGCCGGGCTCTGCTCCTGTCCGAATTACGCTGGGCTGGAGGCCGGACTGATATCACAAGAGAGAATTGTATTACCCACCACGAAACGGAGCCTACCCTCCCCAAAGTGGCAGAAGTCACTGGAACTCATGGATCCCTTCATCCTGTAAAATACTGTCCATTTGCTCCAAAGCAGGCCTCAGGCTGGAATACAGGCTGTCCCCCATGACTAAGACGTTCCCTTCCTGTCTGCTGAGCAAGAAGGATGCCTTGAAGCTGAGTCTTGACGAGGGGAGAGGCCTTCCCAGCAAGCTGCCTCAGGAAGAGATGCACCAGTGTACTAAT